TTTGACCAACCTGAACAGTTTAAATACAGATGGAAAGACGGAAATCATTTTATGGGGTATATTGGACATAGAGAAAAGGACTGGTAAATTGCATTAATTTAACAGTGCTTAAGTATATTTATATTTTATAGTTACTATATGGTGGCTAGGTCAAGTTTTCAAACTTATTTAATTTAGGCACAAATATACTATGAAATATGAGTAAAACGCGCTTTCGCATTTTCATTGAGTAACTCACACATTGACCGAAATATGTGACATTAAGTCACCCGGAAGTTTAAAAATCTATACATTAGGTACAAAAAAGGGAGGCTTAGGAAAGTATTGACTTTATTCAACCCATTTTTGATATGCATATTTACTATTAGCAGGAACGAATATTTTCTGAATTTAAATTATTTATCGCAAACATTGACCGATATTTTCGGTTAAAAGTCAACTATAGGGAATGAGGTCCACGTATTCGGTATCTAGGGGCTTGAACAGGTTAGGTTCGCGTTGGCTAATTTAAAGTCATAAGGCGTCATACTTTAAAGGCATTATATATTCGAAGTAATTTTATTTGCTTTGTGATACTTCAATAATATTTTCTGCCAATAAACTATTATAATAATTACTTAATAATTTTAAGTTTTGCAAGAAATGGAAAAACTATTATAATTTATGTCTGGAAAATCTTAAAAGTAAGCATCACAGCTTACTACTTATATGTTAATGGAAAACATACTTGGAATATTTATAGAGGTGAAAATTTTTAAGTGTTACTATTTTGTTGAGCTACAGTGTACTTCCACACCGTAGCAAGTCTCTTTCTCTGTAGACATGTAGCAAATGCAATTCCTTAAAACGTGTACTGGCATTGGGCATAAGAGATTTTTTGGCAACATTTGGCTGCCATGGTCGCCAGTATGCGTGCGGTGGTGCGGACCCACTGTTGGCACTGCCTTTGCCAGCAATAACACTTAAATGCGAGTTTGGCATATAGCGACAGTTTAAAAGTTGCTGCTTACAATAAAATACAAATTGTTCATGATACTTTGCCTATCCATAATCCGCGAAAGCAGCGGATTTGTAGACAGATGCAGGCATTCTTAAGCCACTGAGGCAGACGTTTGTGGCAATATATACATTTTTATACACATATTATATATGTACATGTATGTAGGTACTGCTTGTGGCAAATTGTTATAAAGGTGTTTTAACGGAAATGTCTGCCAAAAACAGTTACAAATGGCACTTAAGCTAAACGCATATGCGCGTCGTCCTTCACCTTCCCTTGCGCACTTGGCGTGGAAAAGTTTCACCACTTAAGCGCACTTGCGTTTCGTGTGAGGGTGAGAAAATTTAAAATACTTAAGAACTTAGCGCTGTGGAGGCCCGCATACTTCTATGATATATAACGCTTTAACAATTTGTTGTTCGAAAACTTTGTCTCGTGTCGGTAAAAGCTTTAGTTGATTAGCGCGCGTCTATCGCAATTTTAATATTGCTCTTGTACGCTTTGCTTTACGCGTGTTCCATACCAAATTACCTTACCTAATTTCTACATTTAAACTTTGAGCGCTTTCTAGCGCATTGAATTTCATTTAAATTTTAACTGTTTTTCTCACTTTTTGCCACGTTGCCCGCCGAAAGTGTGCAGGATATTGCATTCAGTCACCTGCTGCTCGCCCGTCTGTCGACCCGTCTGTCAGCCGTTGTCTGATTGGCTGTCTTGGGCGACATCAGTTTCAGATATGTTTTCTTTTCGCCTGCTGCCTACAGTCAATACATACATACAATTACAAATATGAGAAAAGATACCACCCCTATATTCCGCTTAGACTCTTTTTATTTTACTGCAGAAACAAAAAACAAACTGCACTTGTCATTTTAATCCTTGTGAATTTTTGAAATAAATTTTTAGGAAATTGAAATTGTTCACTGCTGTTTTACAGCTAAAATAAAAACTGATTTCTGTTGCATGCAAATTGTTCGGGTGCAGTTGAATACACATGAGTTTAACATTTGAGCTTATTATAAATATCAGAGATATTATGTCACTGATATAAAAAGTATTCTGTGATAAATTTTAAAGCTACTTTAATTGAAGTTTTTGACCAGCTTAAGGTCGTAACTGCATAATTAGGCAATCTAAGGGTGGTTACAACATTTTAAAAGATTTTAAACCTAATAAAAAAATCTTGATGGAATACATACCAGATATAAGTGTTTATTTTTTACAGAGCGGACAGTCATCTGTTAATCAAATAAAATTTTGGCAGTAATATTGCTATACAATGCACCACTTCCTTACTTCTAGAAATATTTATTTAGAAATTAGTGAGTTATGGTTAAGCGCGGATGCAGCCGATATACGGAAGTTAGGTCTCTCTAGGGTATTAGAAAATCGATTTTTTGTTCACATTATACAATTAGAACCATAGTGAAAGAGTTAATGTTTCCCTCTTCAGTAATTGTATTCAAGTGTATTGCGTCAGTCAGCTTTTTAGCTTTTTGATTGTAAAAGTTTTAACCTTTTTATTAGTCTGCTCGTTTGCGAAAAATTTTAGTCTAGATAAATACAAATGTAATTCATTTACAAATAAATCTCATTTTGTGTTTTACCCTATATAAGACGGTGAGCATGGTAGATTAAGTGAAATTTGTGAAGCCTGAATACACGAGAATTAGTTCCACAGTTTTGGAGATATCGATCTGAAATTTTGCACTCGTCCTCTCCTCCCTAAGGCGGTGCTCATTTGTTGAAACCATTAATATCGGTTTACTATAATATATAGCTGTCATATAATCTGATTAATCCGAATCAAGTTCTAGCTTGGAAAACTTTTTTATTTGAAAATATATCTTCACGGAATTAGGTATAGAATATTGTCCAAGGCACCGGTATACTCTCCGAATATAGATATTGTTCAGAACGGACTACTATAGCATATATGGCAGCCGCCATTCAAAGTGGCCTATCAAAGTCAAAATAAACATATTTTTATACCCTTTTATGCTCCAATAAATGCATCAAAGAATTTTTCCTTTTATTGGTTTTTTTTTTTTTTTTTTTTTTTTTTTTTTGTGATAGCACGAGTTTCTTGGTTCACTATCGTCGATTCCTCATAGCACTTCCAAAATTTGTATATAGATTTTTTTCTACTCTCAAGTCAAGTTGCAATAATGCCTGCAAGAAAGAAACTCGATTCCGTTATATCAGAATAAATTGTCAAAATTAAGCTTTTTATGAGATCTCTAGATTGGCTTAACTTCTTAAGTATAGTAAACTAGTGTGAACATAATTTCAGCTTTAAAAATTCAAAACTTTCTTAAATATACGAATACTCCTTTGTATCTACAAATTGAATTATAATATCTCTGAAATTGTAACTCTAATTTCCATGTTTAAGAGTCGGACTTCGTCTACTCAGTTTATTCACATAATTTTTATTGATTCATATTATAGGAGTCAAGAAACGTACATCAGCAATCAACTATTTCACAAGTTGCTCACTGGCATAAATATGAATACCCAAGCCAGCAATTGCGCCTAAAATGCTGCTCAGCTGCTGACTTTATTTTTCAGCATCCTCTATGGGAGCAAAATACTTTGATATTTTTTTAAATTTATTTTTAGGCACACTGGCTTTATTATTAAGCGTTATTTTTATTTTCGCAGTGAAATGCTTTGACACAGAAAAACAACAAAGCCAAGTTCACTGAATTCCAGTTCGTTGACAGTTCGCTGCTGCTGCTCATTAGCGTGTGCCACAATGCGGATACTCTGTGTGCATACATATTATATATGCTATATTACGTCTAAATAATTATGAATACACACATACATACAAACACACATGTGCTCATATCAGCATACAACAGCTGCGGCAACTGTTGCGGGTTACTCATACGCAGTGTGTAACCATAAAGAAATTTCGGAGCATCGTATGAATTATATATATATGTTATGAGTGTATATAAGCAAAAATATAAATATAAAAAAGTGTGTACATATATACGTATAAATGTTTTGTGATTTTTGAATTAAAATACGCGCATTTAAATATCTAAAAGTATTCGTGGCTTTCAAATTATAACTTTTTGTTTTTGTTTTTTCTCTTTTAATTACAGCAAAAATGTATGTCAGCATATTGAAATAAAGAAAAATGAAGAAAAAGTGCACAAAGTAGTAGAAAGTGACGAAAAAGCTACAATTCCGTCAGTTAAATGTGGAAAACACATGAAAATGAAGCACGTACAACTACGCCAGTGCAAAAGAATTTAGCCATAGAAATGCTCACACACACACAAGTTCATAGCTATAATTTAGCGAACGTGGACTTATATATGTAGACGAGTATGAGTTACAAACCATCCGCATTGCGGCGTCAAACAGCAGTAGTCGCTACAGACTAGTGCGCAGATGACAGCAGATGGCGGTAGTTGTGCTGTTTGTGCATGTGTGTGTATTTGCACTGCTGATGATGTTCGCGAAAACGGCGCGCAAACGGCCATCGCATAATAAGCGCCGGTTGGTATGCAAACATTTCTCTACTAGTGAATTTATAACCTGAAGGTGCAATGGCGGCAGCTTCGCCAATGCTAGAACAACAAATCTTGCCTCACTTTGACTTTTGCCAACATCATTTACTCATTTCCTGTAAATATAATATATGCTGCAAGATGTAGCTTGCTGGTGGTACAACTGCTTTAAAATGCAATGAGAATTAAAAAAAGATATTTTAAAGAACAAGCTAATTAAATGGAAGATGAAGTAACATGAGATATCTACTCTCTTTGCTTCCGTTTTAATTTTTTGCTGACGTTTTTGATACGCTTTTATACGCCATTTCGTTTTTGCATGCAATGTAGATGCACGATTTTTGTTAAGTTACTTTACGCAGCAGAAAGGGGAAAAGTGGTATGTGGCAATTTAAGTATTTAAAAACAAGTTTTCTTCAGTTTTATAAGTACAACATTTTTATTAAGTAATTATAATGAGCTATAAGGCTTACCTTCGCAGAGTGGAACAAACTTTCCTATCTGCAAAAATTACAACTTTTCCATCAAAACATTCACACTCGAGGTCTCGAAGCAGTCTTTTTGCAACAATTCCTTTAAAGATACTCTTATTTACTTATTACTATTTTCGCTTTAGTTTGAAATTTTCGTTTAATTTATCATTTATTTGTTTAATTTTTGGTAAAAATTTGTTTCCAATTTCTGATTTGTTTCATTCGGTTTTATATTTTTTTGCCTATTTTATTTCACAAAAACTAATTTTTGGTTCAACTTCTAACAGTTTCGTTTGCCACAAATGTTCAACCAAATTAACCGCGAAACATAGCAATATGCTTGCTTACGCGCGTGTAAATTTATTCGTCAAATATACATATATTGCGTATGCGCGTCATTGTTGCAACGAATTGCAATGCCGCAAAATCAACCGCCGCTTGACGAGACTAACAAAACGTTTCTACTGACGTAGCAAATCCAAGCAGCAGCAAAATCATCAAAAACCTTTATTGTTTTTGTATTTACTTGCTGACGAAATGCATGCCAGCGTACTCTCAGCGCGAAAATTCGAATATTTTGACACAGCGCAATTTTTCGAAATCGAAAGTATTACTTTCTGTCACAGAAATTTTACAAAGTACGAGCGAATCCTTGATATGCTTCGCTATTGCACGGTGGCATCGGAAATGTGTGTTAGGTCAGTGTTTTCGCGCTCCTTCTCTCTCTCTGGAGAAGCTGTATGCGCTCAATACATAGTCCAGCAGTTGACAAAGTGGCTCATACGCAGCGTTGTACAGCATCCATCGCACACGCTCAGTTCGATATGAGCGCTCTCTTTCGCTCATTTACTGCGTTTCTCTCCTGATTTTGAGTGGTATAACAGTTTTGCGTATATTAGCGAGGTAAACTGTTATTCACCACACATTTAAGTGCAAGAATTGTTTATCCAAAACTGTGTCAGATTACGTGTGCAGAAACCTTTTATCTTTTGTTTTATTTTTCACCTCTAGAAAGGTTTTTGAAGCTCACGCATTAACTTATTCTTTTTATTTAAATAATTTTTCTTTGCCTCATAGTAATATAATAATTTCAGGTTGTAAATACAACAATATGTAAAATAGTTTCTGTTCTTTCTTTTTTTCATACATTTTTTTCAATTTAATATATTTATACCCTGAACAGGGTATATTAAGTTTGCAACGAAGTTTGTAACACCCCAAAAGAAACGTCGGAGACCCTATAAAATATACACATAAATGATTAGAATGATGACCTGAGTTGATTTAGACATGTTCGTCTGTCTGTCCGTCTGTGTATACGCGAACTAGTCTGTCAGTTTTGAGATATCGATCTTAAATTTAGCATATATCCTTCTCTCATCAAGAAACTGCTCGTTCACGGAATGGCCGATATCGGTTCACTATAACATATAGCTGTCGTACAAACTAAATAATCGGAATCAAGTTCTTTTATGGAAAACTTTTTCAGTTGACGAGATATATTCATGAAATTGGGAGCGAATTATCATCTAAAGCAATAATGAAATATCCGAAGAAATTGTTCTGATCGAACCACTACAGCATGTAGCTATCATACAAACTGAACGATCGAAAACAAGTTCTTCTAAGAACCTTTTGTATTTGTGAAGGATATTCGGTGCAACCGAAGTTAACGTTTTTTCTTGTTTTTCCAGCCCCTCTTCCATACTACTATCTATGTTTGAAATTATTTTTAGCCAAATTAATGATAAGGTTGACATTGATCTTATTAAGAAAAAATTTCAAACGATTAGTTCAAATTATTGGCTTCCTGTTTTAGCTACAATTTTGAGAGTTGTGTGGATAATGTGTTGCAAACGAGCAAGTTTCCGTGTCTTGCTGCTTCTTATTATATTGAGCATACTTCTGACTACTTCGATACAATAAAACACGAATTCCATAACTCTTACCCACACAAAGAGGAGAAGGGTGCTTGTTTTACATTGGTGTATATTGTAAGTGACTCATTTTTGCATATTTTGTTATATTCATGTTTACAGCAGGGCTTCTTTGCTATTTTTGTTTTTTTTGTTTTGGTTTGTACTGTTTTTGGCATAGTTTGAATACTTAGTATCACTTGGTTGCTTAGTCTATCGGCAATGAAATCCGGAAGGTAGTTTAAAATGTTTACACTTTACTTTTAAATTATAAGTATCATTAATAATATCAGTGGTTTCAATTCTTGCATTTATTTCTATTAATAAAGTGAATTGATATGTCTACGTATCTTTTCACTTCAGAAGAGTATATAACTTATTTAGTTTACAAATCACCTGCTTCATTGAGTCTTGGGTCTTGCTTTTATACAAATACATTGATCGGGAAGATGCTCATATCATGAGTCTCAAACGTGATGGCAACATTTGCTCACCACCCTTCCTTAAAAGCAACTTTAGTGGATGACGACTCAGTCGAAGCACTTAAACAGTTTAACTTTTCAGGAACATCGAAAAGCACTCCAAGAGAAAATTATATGCCAGGGAATGCCTAAAAAGGAGATAGTCGAGTAAAGATTACAATTTTATGTTTCTTAATTCTAGGTAATATTTAATTTATGTTGTGCAAAGAAAACTCATTGAAAATAAAGAGAGAAAAGAGTAAATATCGTCCAAGAAGTCAGTCTAAGAACCCCTGCCTTCAGACTCTGGCTGCTCGCTGTGAGATTTGCAGGTCACAGTGAAATTATGCAGTAAACAATAACAACAATTAAGGGGCACAACAATCAGCAAAGCATCGAACAACAAATTAAACAACGACAACAAACACCCAAACAGTCAAACAAAGCAAGCATAATGAACGCATGACGTAAGAGAACAGAAAATATGAAGGCCTGAGTATTAATATTATATAACAACGACAACTACAATGAAAATATGCCGCAACAAAAGCGCAAAATCACATGAGAGCTAAAAGAAAAAAGAAAATGAGGAAGAAAAAGTTGTGTATCAAAACAAAAAAAAAAGTAACCGAACAACAACAAGAAGTTCTTTATCCACAAAAAAAAAAAGAAATACAACAACATAGCACAAAAGGCGAAAAATTCCGTAAAATAAGCGTCACAGTGGTGGGCATATCTACGGGATCCTGCTGTCCTAACTAATAGCTGAACAAAAAGTTTGAAACGCTGGCAGCACAAAAGCATTAAGCATATTGTGGACTCGGCTGATTTGCGAGAGAGGGGTGCGGTAGAGAGGGAGAGGTAAAAGCGCTGCGAGCACCCAAAAAGCAGTTCAACTAATTTATCCTACACGTTTGTTGTAATTACGGTAGACAGCCAGCCTGCAGATAGGCGCACATATTCCGGCATATGCACGTATACATACACACATGCATACCTATTCACACATACACGCATATAGCTCTTGTGCGGTTGAAGAAATGTACAGCGCTCGTAAGTAAGAACAAGGTAAAAATTGAAAAAATGCCGAAATGTAGCACAGCATAAAATGTTCTGCACGTGACATCCGGTGTAATGGTGACTGTCAGCAGTCAACTTTCGCCTTAACACAAAATGAGTCAAATAAAAGAATGCCTAAATAGCCTAGTCGTAGCATGAAGACTACTATATGTGGTTTGGACCCGCAATAGAAATACAAAAGATCAAAATTTTGACAGCCTGATCACTTCATAAGGGGTTTACTGGAACTGAAATCGCAATTTTAAGAAAGTGCAAAATCTTGATAAATTTTGTTCCGTTTTAGACATTTTAAAAATCTCTACTCTAAATATATGTTCGAAAAAAGAATGTCTGGTAAAGTATATAGATAAATTATCAGCGTTGATGAAACATTGCTATAAGAGATGCACCAGTGAAAGTTTCGCGGCAGCCACAACTAACATTTATACATAAATTTATTATTAGCGGAGCATTAAGTAATTAATATAATATATAAATCCCGTATAAATACATGCAAATTTCTTGAATTAGTTCGAGATAATAAATTGACTAATCTTTTTGAACAAAATAGAATATATAAAATCTGATCAAATTTGACCCGGACGGGTTCATGTAAACTGCGCCT